GTTTCTCCACGTTCGGGTTTGATGGCGCTGTTTGTGCCGTAAAAGATGATTAGTCGTTCTAAATTCCATATTGCTATTGTAATTTGCTTTTATAGCCAGCCGACTCCGACTCCGAACATCCACCTTCCGGCGACGGCTCGGGGGGCTGGGTGCCTCTTCCCATACAGATCTCCAGGTGTGTACAGGGGGGAGAACACGCTCCGCACACGCTCAGAGGTCTTTTCCGGAGAGAAGGCGCCATTTAATTGGAACTCACATTTCCTTAATTGTATTCCGTGCCGGGGAGAGGAAAACACGAGACGTGACACCAGATTATCACTCAAAGTCATTTGTTGGGTGGTGTGGCTTCAAGTAGGGAATCTGACATGGATTGCTCTTATATCGGAGACAACATTACAGAACATCGAACTTTTCCTTCCCTACAATATGGGTGGATTTACTGATACTCGGGGGAAGCCGGAGAGAATTGTAGACTACCGTAGAGAAAGTGGGAGGGGGAGTGAGACCACCAAAAGTGTCGGTGTTTGCATTCGATTGATGCTTCCAGGCCTTTTTTTCTCAGAGAATCGGTGCAGGTACCCCCCTCAAAATCACCCTCGTCTCCTCCTCGTTTCCCCCCTACCCACCTCTGAGCACCATCTCTCGTTTCCACCCCTTACCCACCTCTGAGCACCATCACTTTTCCACCCCTTACCCACCTCTGAGCACCATCTCTTATCTCCATCTCTACCCACCTCTGAGCACCATCTTTGTCTCCATCTCTACCCACCTCTGAGCACCATCTCTCGTCTCCACTCCCTACCCACCTCAGAGCACCATCACTCTTGTCTCCACCCCCTACCCACCTCTGAGCACCATCTTCTCATCTCCATCTCTACCCCTACCCCACCATACCACCTCTGAGCACACCATCTCTCTCTCCACCCCCTACCCACTTCTGAGCACCATTCTCATTTCCCTCCCCTACCCACCTCTGAGCACCATCTCTCATCTCCACCCCTACCCACCTCTGAGCACCATCACTCATCTCCACCCCCTACCCACCTCTGAGCACCATCTCTCATCTCCACCCCCTACCCACCTCTGAGCACCATCTCTCATCTCCACCCCTACCCACCTCTGAGCACCATCTCTCATCTCCACTCCCTACCCACCTCTGAGCAGCATCTCTAGTCTCCACCCCCTACCCACATCTCTGAGCACCATCTCTCGTCTCCACCCCCTACCCACCTCTGAGCACCATCTCTTGTCTCCACTCCCTACCCACCTCTGAGAACCATCTCTCATCTCCACCCCCCTACCCACCTCTGAGCACCATCTCTTGTCTCCACCCCCTACCCACCTCTGAGCACCATCTCTCATCTCCACCCCCTACCCACCTCTGAGCACCATCTCTCATTTCCACCCCCTACCCACCTCTGAGCACCATCTCTTGTCTCCACCCCCTACCCACCTCTGAGCACCATCTCTCGTCTCCACTCCCTACCCACCTCTAAACAGCATCTCTCGTCTCCACTCCCTACCCACCTCTAAACAGCATCTCTCGTCTCCACTCCCTACCCACATATGAGCACCATCTCTCATCTCCACTCCCTACCCACATGAAAGAACACCTCAAGCATCCGTTAAGATGAGCACGTTCCTCCTTGCCACCACTGGATTGTTCAGACTTTAGTTGTGCTCATCCACAAGGGAATGAGCCCTGAGTGAAAGAACATGTCCACATCCCTGAGATGAGCATGTCTCGTCTCCACCCCCTACGTGCAAACATCTCATCAGCACCATCTCTTGTCTCCACCCCCTACCCACCTCTGAGTTCCATCTCAGTTGTGACCAAAATTATTCAACCCCCAATGCTGTAAACCATCTGTACATTTGGAATTGTATTCAGTCAAATCCTACAAGGACGTTGTAACTACCCAAATGCAACTAAAATGACATCAATTGAGTAACCATCTCTATGTCTCATTGCCACAATTATTCAACCCCCTCTAAAGACTACCACTCTGAAGAACAGAGGTTCATACAGGTGCTTTCCATCATCTGAGCAAACCATCTCTTGTCTCCACCCCATACCCACATCTGAGCAGCTCCATCTCTTGTGGTCAAACATGGTGAAGGCAAGAGAATGGTCCCCAAGAGAAGAGGTGATTTCCCACCTATGAAGATTGCACCAGATCTCTTGTTTCCACATTCGCAAACCAAAGGGCACTTGAGCTACCTGGTCGTGGCATCTCTTGACTGCTGTGCGCTACCTGAAGCGTTGGAGAGAAGTCCCCGTGTGACTGCTGAGGAACTGAAAAAGATTTGTCAGATGTGGGTTCAGAAGTTTCACCCCAGACAATAAGACGCACCATCTCTCGCTCCAATGACCCACCGTGCTAGAACTCCCAGGCATCTCTCTGTCTCCACTCGACTGCAGTATGCCACATATGAGCACAATCTCTGGGTCTCCACTGATGAAACAAAATTAGAACTACCCACATGAAAGAACAAGGCATCTCAAAGAACATCCGTTAAGATGGTGGAGGGTCAATCATGCTTCCTTCTGCAGGTACAGGGAAGCTTCAGCGTGTGCAAGGCCATGAATTCTCTTCAGTACCAGGAGATATTGGATGGAAACGTGATGCAGTCCGTCACACACTGAGGCTTGGGAGACGTTGGACCTTTCAACAGGACAATGATCCCAGCATACCTCCAAGTCCACTAGAGCATGGTTGCAGAGGAAAGGCTGGAACATTTTGGAGTGGCCATCGGGAGTCACCAGACTTAAATCCGAGAACCTGAGTGAAAGAAAGCATGTCAGTCGCAAGCAAGAATGTCCCCTTTGCCCATGAAGAATGGGCGAGCATCGTTTCTACCTGCTGGCCATTTAAAAGGTTATCTGTGCAAACTTTTGCTATGCTCATCAGCAAAAGACGGGGTGGGGTTGTTACTTTTGGCCTATTTCAAACTGGTAAGCAAGATCCACATCCCAAAAGCCTGTTGGCCAAACAATGCAGTGGGGGTTAATAATTTTGGTCACAACTATATGGGGCATTGTGCATAAGGTATAAAGTAGCACTGCGGTCAAAAGTGGTTAAAAAAAAACTTGCTTCTATGTACAGATTGTAGTTCTACAGGCACATGGGGACAACCACATTTTCTCATTGGATTCACCTTGTCGATGCTCCAGTCTCACTCCAGGTCTATCACATGGGATCTGTCTAAATCAGGGATGTCACACTGGCTGTCCTCCAGCTGTTGCGAAACTATAAGTCCCATCATTCCTCTGCCTTTTGGGAGTCATGCTTGTACCTGTCAGTCTTGCAATGTCTCATGGGACTTGTAGCTTGCCAACAGCTGGAGGGCCGCCAGTTTGACACCCGTGGTCTAAATGAAAGCAATGGATGGACATAAAACCTCCACAATACTCCTCATTCATAGACCATGTGGTCCAGGATTGAACCCCGACGTGGCAGTTTATTATTCACACAAGAAGTATTCCTTATTGGAAACAATAATGAGGTTTGGTGAAGGTGTCAGGTGCCCTACTCATGGTGCCCTACTCATGGTGCCCTACTCATGGTGCCCCACTCATGGTGCTCCACTCATGGTGCCCCACTCATGGTGCCCTACTCATGGTGCCCTACTCATGGTGCTCTACTCATGGTGCCCTACTCATGGTGCCCTACTCATGGTGCCCTACTCATGGTGCTCTACTCATGGTGCCCTACTCATGGTGCTCTACTCATGGTGCCCTACTCATGGTGCCCTACTCATGGTGCCCCACTCATGGTGCCCCACTCATGGTGCCCTACGGATTCATGCAAAGCATTCAATTTAATGAAAGGTCGGCTTTAATTCACATGGCCCCACCGATGTTCATACAGACAGGGGCGGCACTACCCAAGGGACCAGGGTCAGTAGGGGGCCTCATGAAATGCCCCTGGTACCATTTATAGGCTTTTTTGGGTGTGGTTTGAGTGTGGGCAAGGACACAGGGGGCCCCATGATCCCCTATTGCCCAGGGGCCCCATGAGTTGTTGGTCTGCCCCTGCCCAAGAGGTTAGAGTAACACACTGTACCATGAAATGCCCCTAGTACCTTTTATAGCCTTTTTGGATGTGCTTTGAGTGTGGGTGAGGACACAGGGGCCCCACGATCCCCTATTGCCCGGGAGCCCCATGAGTTGTCAATCCACCCCTGCATACAGATCAATACAAAATGCAACTTTAAAGCCGCATCTGGAACTAAAACACACAAAAGAGGAAATAGGAACAAAGCCAAATGAGGCGAAACGCAGCCGACTATCACCCAGCAAATGGATACAGACAACTGCGACTGACACTGAAACTTGTCGGAACTTTTCCCCGAAAAAGAAAGTTTCTATTTTAGTCGCTAATGATGGTTAGAAGAAAATTAACAGTTTTATATAACTGAATGTTCTTTACTCATTATATTAGAACAGAAGATGATTTCTTATTAGAAAAGGTTATTTCACTTGTTATGTAATATATTATTTAATGACATCTAATTATAAACAATCCTATAAAGTAGTCAAATCCGCTCAGCTATAATTAATGTGTTCTAAGCAAGCAGTTATGAATGTCCGACTTCATGTTTGTGCCCAACACTTACATACTTTCATGTTTGCCACCAGCTCCAGGTCACACGGCACCGCTTCCCTGAACTTCCAGTGAAGGAGCATGCACTATAAGCTTTGGGACTCCTTTCCCACCCATCACGATGCACATGCGTGCCCTAAGTGCAATAAGGACCATGGGGGAAAAAAGCACATGCATTCCCCTAGCATGGCACCAAAGTGTCCGCGCTGTAAGGACCATGGCCACACTGTGCTTAAGTGACCTTTGCCTTACACCCGTCGTGCACAATAAGAAGGACCCTCTGCCTCTCAGCATTCGGGGCCCTATGCATGGTGCCTGAGCACACACAGAATATGAAACACCTGGCCAGGAGCATGATTTTATATATATACACACACACTATATTGTCAAAATTATTGGCCCCACCCTCCAAATCATTGGATTCAGGTGTTCCAATCCCCTCCATATCATGGGATTCAGGTGTTCCAATCCCCTCCATATCATGTGATTCAGGTGTTCCAATCCCCTCCATATCATGTGATTCAGGTGTTCCAATCCCCTCCCAATCATGTGATTCAGGTGTTCCAATCCCCTCCCAATCATGTGATTCAGGTGTTCCAATCCCCTCCATATCATGTGATTCCAGTGTTCCAATCCCCACCAATCATATCATTCAGGTGTTCCAATCCCCTCCATAATCAGGTGTTCCCCCTCCATATCATGTGATTCAGGTGTTCCAATCCCCTCCATATCATGTGATTCAGGTGTTCCAATCCCCTCCTTATCATGTGATTCAGGTGTTCCAATCCCCTCCATATGTGATTCAGGTGTTCCAATTCTCCCAATCATGTGATTCAGGTGTTCCAATCCCCTCCCAATCATGTGATTCAGGTGTTCCAATCCCCTCCATATCATGTGATTCAAGTGTTCCAATCCCCTCCATATCATGTGATTCAGGTGTTCCAATCCCCTCCCAATAATGTGATTCCGGTGTTCCAATCCCCTCCATGGACACAGGTGTATACAATCAAGCCCCTAGGCATGCAGACGGCTTCTACAAACATTGGTGAAAGAATGGGTCGCTCTCAGGAGCTCAGTGACTCCAAGCGTGGTCCCGTGATAGGTGGCCACCTGGGCAATAAGTCCATCCGTGACATTTCCTGGCTACTAAATATTCCACGCTCAACTGTTAGTGGGATTATAACAAAGTGGAAGTCACTGGGAACAACAGCCACTCAGCCACCAAGTGGTAGGCCACGTCACATGACAGGGCGGGGTCAGCGCATGCTGAAGCGCACAGTGCGCAGAAGTCACCAACTGTCTGCAGAGTCAATAGCTAAAGACCTCCAAACTTGGTGTGGCCTTCAGATGAGCCCAACAACAGTGCGTAGAGAGCTTCATGGAATGGGTTTCCATGGCCGAGCAGCTGCATCCAAGCCTTCCATCACCAAGTGCAATGCAAAGCGTTGGATGCCGTGGTGTAAAGCACTCTGCCACTGGACTCTAGAGCAGTGGAGACGTGTTCTCTGGTGTGACCAATCACATATTTTTGGGCCAGTCCACTACTCTATCAGGGCCTCCAAACATGGGATTGGCCGGACTCCCATGAACATGCAGATTAGGTCTCCACTCCTTTCTGCCTACCGACTTCTGAAAGGTGCTAGGGTCTTCCAGAGTCAGAAGGAGGCGATAGAGCTGCAACCTGTTGAGTCACCCAGCTGGCCTGCAATAACCCAATCTCAATCACAGACTCACACAACTACCATGAGCCATATACAATGAGTTTGCCTGTAATCCACTACACTATTCTAGTAGCACACTAGAGGGTGCTACACTCCCCCCCCCCTTTCCTTCCCCTCTAAAAACAGCCATGTCCCTATTGGCTGGAAAAATATGTACAAAAATGGCTCCTGAGCGAGGGAATCCCATAAGAAACAATGGAGGGGAGAAGAAGGATAGAAACATGGAAAGGGATATGCACAGATAAATATTCAATATCAAATATATAAATATACAAAAACATACAATGTGTTCCCGAAACTTAAATAAGGCAAATATACATTCTGCCGACCGGTCCCTGCGGCCAGAAATTACATCTGAAATCAATAAAGCTACAAAACGTTGGAAGGCAACATATATACATCCTAACTACAGCTCCCTGCAGCTATATATATATATAATCAATAGGCAAACTATGCTCATTTTTTTGCTGTTGTTGCAGCAACTTCCCATAAAGGGAAGCCCTCCAGCAATCTGTGGAAAAGTCCCAAATTTGAAATAGGAGGACAGCCATCCATGATGAACCTACAAAAGGGAAAAGCAGATATACAACCCTCACACTGACTTCAGTCAGGGCCCTGTCCACGGCAGAAGTTCTGGAAGATCTGGCACATTTCTGCCAGTACTCTACATGGCCGCAGAAGTACACATCAGCCTCAGTCTGGTGCCAGGCGGCCTTTATAAGGAGGCTCATCACTTCCTCTGGTTGCTGGATGATCTCTAGCTCCCCGTGCCCTGTTCCTGGTTCCTGTGACTTTGACCCGTGATTTCCTGTTACCGACTCGGCTTGCTCCTGGACCTGTCTACTCTGCCTTACCCCTGATCTGACCTCGGCCTGGATTAACGGATACTCTCTCTCTCTCTCTCCTCTGTGTATGACCTCGGCTATCCCATCTGACTACATCTGCTCTGATTCCCACCTGGTACCTGACCTTGGCTTGAACCTACTACCCAGTAAACATCTAAATCCCGGAAGGGCTTGCATACCACGCACAGGCGCCTCCTGTCTGCAGACCTATCTCCGTGCACCAGCTGTGCTTCTGAGTGGACCACCAACCAGCACTCCTACAGGCGACCTTGTGCAACTTTGGGCCTGACTCCCGCTGTCCCACTCTCAGGGGAGTCCGGAACTTAGCCGTAAGGGAAGCCGTCTCTCCATTGGCCTCCATCACCAGGTACGTGATACTTCACTATATACACAGCCTGCTAGCACAGGGGGTTATGGTCCTGCTATTATGGTCCAGCTAGCACGGGCGTTATGGTACTGCTAGCACGGAGGGTTATGGTCCTGCTAGCACGGGGGGTCATGGTCCTGCTAGCACGGAGGGTTATGGTCCTGCTAGCACGGGGGGTCATGGTCCAGCTAGCACGGGGGGTCATGGTCCAGCTAGCACGGGGGGTCATGGTCCAGCTAGCACGGGGGGTCATGGTCCAGCTAGCACGGGGGGTCATGGTCCAGCTAGCACGGGGGTCATGGTCCAGCTAGCACGGGGGGTCATGGTCCAGCTAGCATGGGGGGTCATGGTCCTGCTAGCACGGGGGGGGTCATGGTCCTGCTAGCACGGGGGGTTATGATCCTGCTAGCACGGGGGGTCATGGTCCTGCTAGCATGGGGGGTTATGGTCCAGTTGCACGGGGGGTTATGGTCCAGCTAGCACGGGGGGTTATGGTCCAGCTAGCACGGGGGGTTATGGTCCAGCTAGCACGGGGGGTCATGGTCCTGCTAGCACGGGGGGTCATGGTCCTGCTAGCACGGGGGGGGTCATGGTCCTGCTAGCACGGGGGGTCATGGTCCTGCTAGCACGGGGGGGTCATGGTCCTGCTAGCACGGGGTTTATGTCCTGCTAGCACGGGGGGTTATGGTCCTGCCAAGAGAGAACTTTGTACACACAAGAGTAGTAGCAGTGTAGTAGTGGCAGTGCCAGGATAAGGTCATCTAGAGCCCAGGGCCAACATGCCAGAATGCGCCCCCCCCCCCCCCCAAGATGTATGAGCATTATTAATCAACAAGAATCCCTCCCCTCAAAAAAAACAGAGCACTCCTCTGCATGCAGCCCCCCTTCAGGGTATTCATGACACGGCTGTTGTTGGTTGTCAGGAATACGTTGAGTTGGATTATCACTGGGATGGGATTTATTTCTATCACTTGTGTCAGAGAAAGGAAATAATGAGCTTCATTGAGATGGAAGACTTTCTGCTCTCGTAGTGTGGCCTCCTGATCCCCATCACCGTCCCATGCTGGGCCTATCTGCTGACAATTTGTATATCTTACAATACTAATTGTAGGTATGGTAAGTACATAGTTGGTCCAAGCTGGAACAATGTAACTCTGTATAAAACCTCCAGACCTGGAATTCGGCTTTAATATAACTGACATTGAGATATACAGAAATTCGGAGGGACACAGAGGGGAAGACACGAGGAGCAGACATCCGAACGTTGCGTGGTTGGATCGGGGGCACAGCTGGAAATGGGAAATACAGGTGAGAATGGAGTTGAGCTTTAGGCTAAATATGTCCCATTTGATCTCCTTGTTAATTTGAAATGTTAGTCTGACCTAAGACACAGCTCAGGGGTCCAAGTCCCCGGAGACCCCGTGTCCTCCCTCTTACACTACAGACATCAGATCTGCCTCATGCTGAGTATTGCAAGATATACAAATTGTCAGCAGAAAGGCCCAGCATGGGACGGTGATGGGGATCAGGAGGCCACACTACGAGAGCAGAAGGTCTTCCATCTCAATGAAGCTCATTATTTCCTTTCTCTGACACACGAGTGATAGAAATAAATCCCATCCCAGTGATAATCCAACTCAACGTATTCCTGACAACCAACAACAGCCGTGTCATGAATACCCTGAAGGGGGGCTGCATGCAGAGGAGTGCTCCGTTTTTTTTTGAGGGAGGGAGAACATTTCTCCAGTTGGTGGATGAAGAGAGTTCTTCCTCAGCCGATGTCTTCACTGTGAGGGAACTCTGGAAGTGTATCTACTGTATGTAGCAGTACCACCTTAGGGGGTCACTGAAGTTTGAGTCCCCCCTATAGTCCTGCACAGCCAGGCAACACGCATTTCCTTCATTCAGACTTGCACCCAGGAGACAGTGACCAGTCCTTGAGCTTTGTTTTGAAGCTTTATTAGCGGATTCAACTTGGATGGGGTAAGGGGTGTATGGGATGCCCGAGGGTGTCGGCAACAGAGGACAAGCTCCTTAGCAACTATGTACAAGTCTTTATACAGCAGAAACTCCTCTGGAGAGCTCTCCGGCATCTCCTGTAGTACCACCCCAGACCCCAGATGAATCCTCTCCTCATCCAGCTGCACTGGGGGAATCCCTGGACGGGGGATCCAGTGCCGCCACTGCAGTGTGAATGGTCCTGAGTAAAAAGCGAATGCAGTTTCCCAGTAGAGTGCCTCTTTCCCTTTACTGGCACAAGGGGTGCAGGTCTACTCACTCAGTCCTCCCGTGTGGCTGGTGGGTTGGTGGACACTACCAGGCCTTCTAGCTGGGCCGCTCCTTCCCTGCTGAACAGGTGGTCTTCATTCTCTGGGCCAGTGAAGTCCTGAGCTTTCCTCCCTCCAAGGTCCTCTGCCTGTAGGTGGGCCCCTCTCCATCTAGATCCCCTCCCAGGCTCCTGCCCTCCAGTCTCTCACTTCCTTTCCATCTTCCACCCGAACTCCCCCCGCTGCTGAGCAGGCTCTAGCACTTTTAAGGGCTGTTCTGGTCCCATGCCAAGCCTCCTGTTGGGGATTGGCCAGGATCCATTAAAAGTGCAGACTAGCCACTCCTTTCCTCCGCCCACTGCTTATAGAACTTTCTCGAAGGTTCTAGTGCAGGGGGGAAGTCTCAGAGAGCCAGTCTGCAGAACCTCTCAGCCCTGACTGAAATTTGACCCCTCTGAGTATTACAACCAGGCTGCTACTCAGCCCTCCTAACTAACAATAGAACTCTAGCTCCCCCTAGCTACCTAGGAGGGTGCTACATCTATATAAATATATGCAGTATATATAGTGCGCCCATGTTTTGAGTTATTATAATGTTTCTTTTCTTTTTTTTTCCTCTCTTCTCTCCTTCTTCTTCTTCTTCTTCTATCAATGTACACAAATAGATGAAGAAGTTGAAAGAAGGGGAAACCAGCACTGAAGACAAACCATGCAGAGGAGGATCATCAACTGCGACCATTGACATAAATCATGAGCGAGT